GGTACTTAACCTTGGAAAAAGATCACTTAACACTTAACATTCCGTAGCATAGTTCCCCGGGAATCCATACAGATCGAAGTGCAGAACATCCATAATTTTCCAGTTGACCATCTTAGCTAATTCTCCAGCCAGACACCTCAATTCCTATTAGTATTTGGCCACGGGGTCAGGTGGAAAATTCTGTCAGCCCTTCCAGGTAAACCAGACAGGAAACATGACCAGATGAGCTAATTCTGTAAACAGAATTTTGTAGGCCTAAAAATACAAATCTCCTACTGTTACTTTTAACGCCTGATACGTTAGGGCAGATCCTTCTTACATTTTTTTTCTTTGCTTGCTAAGTATTTGTGAGCTTCTAACTTTATCTGATTATTCCCTGGGCAGTACCTCTTCCCCTCATCCTTCAAGGGGATTCCCACATACAAATATATCTTCAAAATGGGAGCCACTTGATCTGCTAACAGTATGAATTGTTTTGGGGTGATATATCATAAGCATGGTCTCTGTATGTGTTCTCTCAACTGGGCCTCTTTTTCTTGCCCCATTTAACACATTACTTAGGCCAGAGATATAAATTATTCAGGACTTGGTTGTTAACGTATAACCGAATTAAATCTCCCCTTGTCACAGAATCTTTTAAAGTAATTTATAAACATCCTGAGAGCAGGCCATTTATTAGGTGAGGCTAGCAAATATTTTATTTTGATGGGAAAGTTTAAAAGCAAGTGAGCCACTAAATAATGAAAACAAATTAAGAGACTTGTTTGGAAATTAGTTTGAGGAATGGCTTCATCTGCCGAGGCACACTGATCTTAATTATTTGTCTTCAATAAATATTGCCTAAGCTGCTTATTAATATTATATTTGCATTGAAAGCTTACTGGTGAACCTATTCTGGGCAATGGGTGTATATTTATGAAGTGGAAATATATCTTTCTGAATCTCTCCATCGCTGAAGAGACATCCTCTTGAGATACATAGCTACTGTTCTCAGCAGCCATTTTAACAGATGTAACAGTTGGAAAGGACCCTGGAGGTCTCCTAGTCCAACCTCCTACTTAAGCAGGAGACCTTACACCATTTCAGACAAATGGTTGTCCAATCTTAAAATCTCCAGTGATGGACCACCCACAACTTCTGAAGGCAAGTTGTTCCACTGATTAATTGGTCTAACTGTCAGGAAATTTATCCTTAATTCTAGGTTGCTTCGCTCCTTGATTTTCCTCACCATCCCTTTGTGAGGGCATCCTCTTTTCTCATAAGAACCCAACAAATCTAGGATCAGATTACAAATATGTGGCGATTTCATTCACTGTAAAATATCTGATCAGAGAGGCTGCCTTGAGAATAAATTTCAAGAAAACGGAAGTACATGAGAACAGTTGCGCAGGTGGCTTCAGCCAACGGATTCTTCTTCAGGCATGGTTTCATATTTCCACATTTTTTCACCTAAAAACCAATCAAATAAATCAGCAAATGAAAAGCAGGTTTTTACAGCTGTTGGAGCTTTTGAAGATAACCCTCTTTGCATATTGGCAAATTCTCTTGTTAGCTTTGAAGACGAGAAGTAGCCTATGAACAGCTTCCAAAGGCATCATACAGATCCTAACATCAGGAGATGTGACAAGTCTCTCATAAAACCACTTTAATAACGATAATACATCTCTAATAAAAAAAGGGAAATTTTGTATTCCTTTGGTTATTTCTGGTGACAAACAGCATGGAGGCCAGGAAGAAGAAAAAGTTTGAAGTTCAGAGGCTTAAAAGGGAATTCAAATGCCTCTCCTGGCTAAATTGCCACGTTTAATATTCCCTGTTAACTTTCAGAGATCATGACTACATTTTGCTTTGAATGTTCTGAATGGCATTTATTGATTGTTGTCACATTATCCGATATGAAAAGCGCAGAGTGAAAATCCTCTTGATAGCTTTTCAGTAGGAGATCTTGTCAAAGCATTTCAAAGAATGAATTACCCATAATTTGACTCATAAAGACGTTGCCAATTTTTATTGTTGTTGCTGTTGTTTTGGTGGCTTTGTTTTACTTTCTGGGCTCTCAAATGCTCTGTAGTGACATGATGAAGGAACACCACAAAGAAATGACACTTCTCTCAAGAGCGGTGGAGATCTTGAAGTCTGTTTCCATTTTCAAACGGGCTTCCCACAAGTATACTCACTCTTCAGAGTTGAGAATCTAGTGGCAATTATTGCTGAAAGCTGATAATGGCCAGCTGTTCGATATTCTTTGAATGTTTGAAAGATTGATGAAAACACCATCTTAATAAGGGTTTCTTGTAGTGTTGATAATGGATAATCCTGATCAAGGTGGTTGAAATGGATCTGATGGAGTAGTCAGGTGCAATATATAAAGGGACGGGGTGAATCATGAGAAATGAAATCTGAACACACCTGGAAGACATTGGATTGGTAAGTCTACAATCCCAAAGGTGTTTTTTCAAGAGGCAACGGACTCGCTTTGTTTTTCCTTGAAGATACTTCGCTTCTCATCCAAGAGAAGTGTTGTGTTAGTGTAGATCCATTTGTTTTTATTGGGGGATCAGAGGGAGATTTTATTTTTAGGCTGTCAGGTATTTCATTGTTGTAAACTGCCTAGGGTGGTAAATAAGTCTGCAGTAAACCCATAAACAGTAAATAAAGGGTGGTGATCATAGAAATATAAAGATCAGAACTCTAGTTATCTGAACAAATCTTGTATCAAGCCCAGCTATGCCACCCACTATCTATAAAGGCTTAAAATCATATCCTCTCCCCTGAATTTTCTAAACTAAGGAAGAATGAAGGGTAACTAGCAAATAAATGGGATTTTATAAGTATAGCATTTAACAGTAACTTTCCATCATATGATCCAGACGTTAAGCGGGTATGTTGGCCAGTCACATCCATCAAAGTCACACCAATATGGCACCAGCTCCCAATAAGCAGAGCTGGAAAACTGAATTGAACAAGACAAGGTTTCCAAACTCAATGCATCCAGTCCTCTGCAGAAATTCTCTGAAACTGCCTGAACAATTCATCACCAGAACAAAAAGAAGTCAAGAAATCACCTTTCTTGGATGCTGAAAATAAGAACAAGCCTATATTTTGGCTTTGGCTACCTAAATCCTCTGCTACATGTTTATTGCAATATTCTTATTAAAATTGGTGGGTGGGCAGGGGTTTTCAATAGACGCCAACTGCTGTGAAATTTACTACCCGGAGGCATGAAGGCGCCAAGCCCATTAAATAAAATAACTATCCATAACTCTCTGCAAGGCAAGACAGTGCGTTTCTTTGCGACACAGCATCATGGCTCAACAGTGAAAATCAGAAAGACACCTTGAATCCCCAGCCATCCTCTCCTTCAAGTCTGTATCTTTCCCCCCCCCCCTGCAAATCAGTATTCTTTTTGTAAAACACGGCAAAATAGAAATGACAGGGAGTGCTTTATTTCCCTCATGTTGACTGCTAGTCTGCCTATCAAAAAATATTAACACAAATGGATGGAGTCTGTCTGCTCAAGCCCACAATCCCAGAACATCCCATCGCTAGAAGCGAGAGATGATTGGCATTCTAAGTCTATGTTTTGGGTTCCCTTGACATGCTGGGGAATTCTCCAGTACAAGGTAGTTTAAGACAGGTAACAACAAGAAGGAAGGAATCAGACTTCTGCCCTCAGGCAGACCCAGTAGGCCAAAAGGAGAGAAAAATAATAATAATAAGGTCTGGTAGCTACAGAAATTGTGAAGAGGTAGAAACACAGTCCTGTCAAAGGATTCTTAAGTTGTAGCAAGATTCTGTCTTTCTTTTGCCAAATACCTGCATCTTTTGGTCCAGGATGGTCCTGCCACCCATTGGTGCTATCTACGAGGATTTTTGTGCTGCAGCTCATATCAACTATCCAGTGACCGCCCAACAGGTCAGTCTCCAAGCCATAAACTGCTCCTTTTTGTCCCAGCAAGGTTGAGTCTAACTTATCAAACCAACCGCTTTAAACGTGATTGTAAAAGTCTTTTACCAGAAATAAATACTGTATATCAGTGCATGTGAAACAAAGTCAAACGGTAACTTATGTAGCTTAATGCGGATCTGAATCCAGATTTCCCCGGTCTTAACCCAGATCAAACATGGTAGACATGCATCAATTTCATCCTTAAACACTGTTTAAATTCCTCGAAGCCTGGTTCTCCACCAATAAGTCAATAAACAGACACATTGACACCGACCCAATCTACCAACCACTGAGAACTACTTCAATCCTGAAGGCAGCATTTAAAATGAACAAACAGGGACCCCACCCCACAGCAAAAATCACAACCCCCCACAAAAGAAACCAGGCCACATCTCAACAACATCCATTCATCCAAACAAGCCAAAACCAGACCCGAAACCAGACTGTGACTCGGAGGCAACCAACCAAACAAACACCATTTGCATCACACAGATGATATTTAAACATCAAGGACTATAGCCCAGCAACAAGAAACAGCCAATCAAATAACCAGAAACCAGACCATGACTCAGCAACATCAGGACAAATAACACCCACTTCAATTCACATCTGTACAAAAAGGTATTTAAAGGCCAATGCTCTGACAGATGATCACAATTCAAAGTGCACTGAAGGCCCAAGTCATCCCTAATATAACTTACAATTTCCCCACTTAATTCCATATTTTTTAATTAAACATTTAAATTTGTACTGCTCAACTAATAATATCAGTCAATACGGTCTATATGATGCCTAAATGGATTTTAAAAACACTGGTACTTTCTTAACAATGTTGTTTGTGCAAGAGGCAAAACACAACAAGCATCTTTTCAGAGGTGTCAATGTACATATACTTTATATGTTCCCCCCCCAATGGAGACAAAATGTTTGCAGCCAAACTGCCAAGCTCAGAGGTCAAACCAACAGCCCAACTACTAACCTGAGCTACTAATATTCAAACAGATCTCACACTTAAAATGTAACAAGCTGTAACTAAAGAGAAAGTACTTACGATTTCTGTGGCACAGATTTGGTTGCAACTTTATTGGTGGGCTCATTCCACTCTGAAAATAAAGGAAACAAAGTCACATTCATTGCCTTAAGTTTTGCAGCAACTGCACATCACACCACAATCACTCTCAAAACAAGTGATGTCACAAACCCTAATATGACAAAGCATTACAGGTAGTCCTCAACTACAGCCCCAATTGAGCTCAAAATTTATGTTGCTACATGAGACAGTTATTGAGTTTTGCCCCATTTTACAATCTTTCTTGCAACAGTTATTAAGTGAATCACTGCAGGTGGCCCCACTGACTTTGCTTGTTGGAAGGTCACAAAAGGGGATCTCAGGAGGACACTGCAACTGTCATAAGTACAAGCCAGTTGCCACACGTCTCAATTCTGATCATGTGATCATGAGGATGCTGCAACAGTCATATGTCTGAAAAACAACCATAAGTTGCTTTTTTTTCAGTGCTGTTGTAACTCCCAACAGTCACTAAGTGAATTGTTGTAAGCTGAGGATTACCTGTATTGAAGAACATAGAAAAGCTAGCTTTTTCTGTCGGATGGAGTTGAACCTTCCATCCGTTGTCTTTATAGGATAACAGATCAAGAGAAGAATTGATGGTTTACAGAAGTTGTCCATCTCCTAACTGGGGATGGTGGTGGAGGCTGGAGGTCCAAGCATCCTTAGAGGGCATCAAGTGGCAGTAGGTTAGTTTACCTTCAGAACAGAAGACTTACTTTGCGCAGGGTATCCTGAGGTCAGATGCTGGCAATCCTACAAAGGGAAACAAAGACACGTCAACATTGTTCAGGTTAGGAAGGAGGAAGTTATCCACAGAACACGTCAGAGTAACTGCAGAACGGATAGATTAGCAAAGAAGTTAAGTCTACTAAAATGTACAATCTAATACAATCTCAGCCACCCATGAATATTCAATCACTTGCTATATGCCCGAATTCCCAAGACCCGTGTCCCTGATATTAAGTGAGAAAATTTGCCAAATGTGTTCACTAAGAGGCATCTGCTCTTTAGGATGTCCCCAGCTCTCTCTGCAGACATCAAGGATCAACCCTGAAAGCGCCAGCATTCAAATAAAGAAATCCATCAAAGATACCAAGATATCGGGGTTCATGTCTGCAATGGCTTCTAAAAGGTTTTGTCCCATATTTGTCATAAGGTGGACACGTATTCATGACTGCTAATCAGTCTGGTGCTTAAACCACTGATGGACCTGAATGGAATCTATGCTTCTGAGGGCAGGAGGGCAGGATGAGAGAAAAAGGGGAAGGGGAGGAGGGAGAGAGGAAGGAAGGAAGGAAGGAAGGAAGGAAGGAAGGAAGGAAGGAAGGAAGGAAGGAAGGGAGAGAGGGAGGGAGGGAGGGAGGGAGGGAGAGAGGGGAAGGGGGAAGGGAGGTAAGAAGGAAGGACAAAAGAAAGGAAAAGAGGGAAGAAAGGAAGGAATTCAGTGGAATTAACAGATAGAATAATCTGGTGGAATAGGCAGATATCCTCCAGGAAAGACTGTCCCACAAATAATCTGGTCCCATGTCATGCAGGGCTTCCAAGGTGAGAACTTTAACTGCACTTGGAAGGAATCTGGAAACCAGGGCAGCTTGTACAGCAATGGGGTAACCCAGATAAATGGTGTAATAAAGGGCCATCCAAAACTGCACACCTGCTTTACTCTGGACCACTTGTAATAGTCTTCAGAGGCACTCCACTTGGAGCCTGTTTAAGCATTATCCAATCAGGTAACATTAGATAGGTTTGGAATGCAAAATAGCACCAATGGCCTTGCTTGCTCCTAGAGACTTCTGGGAGCTTTATCCCAATAAGCAAAGGAGATTTGATGTACTACATTGTGATTTCATATCTCTGAATAAATACATATTTGCAAATATGTTCTTAAACCTACCTGGGCTTTGCTTGGGATAGTAAATTTGTTCTGTTCAGCTTTCCCAGGAGTGTGGATAGCAGTGAGAGGTGGAGGCCACGAATGGGTCATCTCCTAGCAATGAAGCAAATGAAACATAGGAGTATATTTTTAAGTCAAGACCAATCCATGTTCTTTCTCTTTGCCTTTCCTTTTAAGCATCCCCAAAGCCACACTGGTAGGACTCACATGCCGGGCTTAGTCATACGATTGTTTGGTGCCATATCTTGTGTGAACATAGTCACTGTGACTTGTAAATTATGCTTCAGGTATGAAAGTGAAAAGCGTACCCAACCAGTGGTGGCTTATTCAACAGAATGGAGTTAAAAACAGACTGTGGAGTGTGAAATCCATCTCTCCAGAAATGGATTGTATTTTTCAGCTTGCCTGCTTTTGTGTATTTTTTTTTAAACTTCAATATTTAACAAAAGACAGGGACATTTGATTTTAGTTTCTTGCTGTATTTTTTTTTATTATTATTATTTGCAGGGCTTGCAGGCTGCTCCAATCCACCAACTCTGAGTGACATGTAACTCTCCAAGATGTAATTGGGAGTAAACCAATGCAATCAATTTTTAAGAAGGTTACAACAGTTATGTCAATAACTCAGTCAAAGTAAAGTAACTATTTTTTTTAAAGCACATATCTGGAAAGGGAAGAAAGTGCCTATCCAATACCTTCTCACACCAGCATGGATCATGAGTATAGATTGCGTCGGTCCTGTCTTTCAGTGATCATTCGGACAGAATGACTTTTGACCCGATCGTTACAAAACCTATGGATGCTGCATGCCTGGATGATGGGGAATATATTTTTCCCTTTCTCCAAGACCACCTAATAGGTGTCTAAATTTATCCCCACAACAGCAACTCTGTGTGGTAGTCTACAGAAGGGGGGGGGAATGTCCTTGATAAAGACAGACAAGGGCTGTTACCAAAGCATTAAGAGGAAAAATGTATCTTAAGACCAAAATAGGCAGATAATGCTGGATCAGACAGACACCTCCCTAATTCACTTAAGTATAAAAAAAGGGGAGAAGGTCCAACCCAGTCAGACTAGCAAGACTGTGATTACAGCCAATCTCAAGGAATGTAGTTTTAATTTTTCTGTGGAGTTGATCTATGGTCTGATTCATCTAGAAGGGTTGACAAATATTGGACTGAGAGAAAGTCACTCATTTCCATGACCTGAACTTGGATCTGTTTGAATCAAACACCTTAGCCACTGTGCCATATTCACTATTTCTTAAAGGTTTTGAAGGCTGACCAGAATCTCAGATGGACATATTTTCTGGGACATCATTATTTCAAGCCAAATGCAGGTAAAATGAATCTAGAGGGACTCTCCAGACTTGGCAACTTTAAGATTTGTGGACTTCAACTCCCAGAATTTATCAGCCAGCCATGGAATTCTGGGAGTTGAAGTCTACAAGTCTTAAAATTGCCAAGTTTGGAGATCCTTGATTTAGACCAGGGGTCTTTGAACTTGGCCCTTTTATGACTTGTGGACTTCAACTCCCAGAATTCCTCAGCCAGGCAGAATGCAGCCCAGTGTTTCCCAAACTGTGTTAACTACTGGGGGAAAAAAAATCAGATTTCTTGTACTAAGTTGTGCAGAAGAGAAAGATGGAGCTTTCAGAAATGATGACTGAGAATTGCTGACTCGGAAGTTGATTTGGCTCAAGTATTCTCATTGCTAAAAAAGTAAAATAAAATAAAACTAAAGATGGAAGCATTGTTGTAACTGGCTCCATGTTTTTTTTTTAATTGTATTAATGAGTAGACATTAAACCAATTCCGAACTCTTTGTTTTTTTCTTTTCTTTAAGGATGCTGTTGTCATTTAAAAAGTAGCTGTAGATGCCCTCAGGTAAAGAACGGAGAAACATTACATGCAGAAGATGTTAATGAGTAGCCAGAAAAAGAAGAAGCTGTGGTACAATTTGTCTCAAAGGCAGAAGAATTAATGGCTCTCAAAAGAATTGGAGAGAATGAGCAGGCAGAACAATTAATTCTACGATACTCTTCAAGGAGTGTAGAGGCGGGATGAACTTCATCCCAGAAATAAAGCAGATAAAAAAATGTTTGTCTCAAACATTTTGAGTCTCTGCAAGAAGAGTCTCTTTTCCATGATCAGAGCAACTTGGGGAGGTAGACTGGATGAGAGATAGAAAGTGATCCAACGTTATCCAGTGGCTCACTTGAAACAAAGAGGTCCATTCTAAGACCTTTAGTACTGATGGATAGATGCCCTTGTTGCCTTAAAACAGATTACAAGGATCAATCCGGCAAGATCTGTTATGTCAGGATATCAAAATGGATTGTCCATGCCCAGAAACTCTCAACTAAAAGAAGCACTGGGGTAAAGTTACCCAGAGTATATTTTATTCCAGAAGAGTTTACTGTTTACCTCTTAAGCTCTGAAAAAAAAATGGCTTTGGCTTCACTAAAGGAGAGAATGAAAACTGCCTGAAACTGCCTGTTTTTGGAATTATTCCGGAAACCATTTAGTTCTACTTTATGCACTAAGCCTCCAAACCTACAAACTGCCTCTTTCCAAAAATTCAGCCAAAGTCCTAAAAATAAAATAAAATAAAAATAAACTCAGTCCCCCTCAGATTAGCAGGCAATTTACCATACGGGAGGATTCAAAACCGAAGTCTCCATTTTCTCGTTGCATTCTAACTGATTTCACCTAATCCGTGACTCCTTTTCATTAAAATGGGACACTATAAATTATAACAAGATCATTAAATGGATGCACTGGACTGTGTTATGGTCGAGGAAACCATTAGATCAGGCTAAATTTCCCCAAATTGCTTGCCACAAAGCTTATTCTCCATTCCATGAGAGGCAGTTGCCTTATCAATTCTACCTCCACCTTCTCCGTGAAATGGAACTATTTTTATAATTTGCTTTTGGTGTGTATCCACAATAAGCAGAAAGATAAGAGATGAATCTCCTAATAAATGAATTGATAAATCATCATGTGTTCTGCAAAAAGGGCAGCAGCATCTTGATCTTCCAAAGAGGTAATCTTTTAAAAGGGTCTTAAAGTCTTAAATGGGTCTTAAAGTCTTAAATGAATGGTAGAGAATCATCTTGATTAAAAAATGGCTTTAGGTTTGCAAGCTTCTATGGTGAAATGCAAGAATGTGGAAGCAGATTTTTGAAAAACTGATTTTTCAAAATCAATCATTCAAGGATGATTGATTTAGTTCCATATCTCACCCTATGGTGAAATAGAATAGAATAGAATAGAATACTTTATTTGGCCAATGTGGTGTTTAGACGCACAAGGAATTTGTCTCTGGTACAAAAGAGCTCAGTATACTTGCAAAACAACAGAGAAAATAGTAACACTAAAATGTGCAACCAGCAGAAGGGGGAAATAAAAAGTAGTAAAAGGATAAATAACACTACAGCCACCCTCTATGGGTTAATATACATACACTACAGCAATTTTAAGACACGTGGACTTCAACTCCCAGAATTCCCCATCCTAATCTACAAAAATACAAAAACACCCTTTATTTGTTGTATGGATGGACTTATTTTAACCAGAATAGAGCTGGAAGGGACCTTGGAGGTCTTGTAGTCCAATCCCCTGCTCAAGCAGGAGACCCTATACCATTTCAATCCAGTCTCTTCTTAAAAACCTCCAGTGTTGGAGCACCCACAACTTCTGGAGGCAAGTTGTTCCACTGGTTAATTGTCCTCATGGTTAGTTCCAGGTTGCTTCTCTGCTTGATTAGATTCTACCCGTTGCTTCTTGTCCTGCCTTCTGGTGCTTTGGAGAATAGCTTGACCCCCTCTTCTTTGTGGCAGCACCTCAAATACTAGAATACTGCTACCTTGTCACCTTTCTACTGGGATACAACCAGTGGACCGAACTCTAGATGGAATTTAGAGCTTTGATTCCTTCTCAACATTTTCTTCTTTTCTAAAAGTAGAACGTTAGAAAACCATTGAACCAAATTATGTCCCTCATGTATCACGTGGGAATTGGAAATGCAGTACATTGTAGGAAAAGAGATTGTGTGTTTACACAATATAGACAGACCGAAGACTGTGCTGGGGCTTCAAAAATCATCTCTCTACTTTTCGATGATGAGTGCAGGGGAATACCTTCAGTGCCAAGGAGGTGGGAAAACACAATTATCAAGGGTATTGGTGTAAATTCTCAAAAATTGATACCACTTGCTAGAAATCTTTCACACCAGTCAGCTTAAGTGACACACCTTGTTTTCCGAAAGTATATATATATATGGGTCCTGGCTGTCTTTAAGTCTTTAAGTGGGCACTTTTCATTAGCAGCAATTTATCGGGGGATTCCCATGCAAAAGTGAGAAAGGCACACTTGGGAGGACCACCCAAGAGAGCAACACTTGTGCTAGCTAGTCCTGTGTAGGGAGTGTCATTCCTAACTCCAGAAAACATCAAGTGATGACAATCATACAAAACAGAACTGGAGTTAAACCTGTCAAACAACACTCTTCTGCCTCCCCACTTTCTCTCCCCCCCCCCCCGCTTGGCAGGCTATATATTATCACGTTCCAGCCGTGACCAATGGGAGCTTTTGATTGCAATGTTGCTGCAGAAATACAACAGCTATGTGGCACATGCACTTTCCCATTTGCTGCCTTTATGAGGGAACTCGTATTTTGACAGAGATGCATCCCGGATGACGACTCTACTCACAAAAGGAAAGAGAGAGACGGATGAAATTTTGTGAACTCTTCCCAGCCAGGTCTTTTCAGAGGAAGAACGGTGGGGCTGCTGGCTCTTCAAATGTGATGGTCTTTCTGGTAGGTCTTTCCCCATTAAAAAAAACGGTAATGAAAACGGATTGTGATAAGGTTTTCTTCCCGAGACTCAGAAGAATCAGAGTCGCTCTGGCAGGGAGGTAAGAAAGAGACTTCAAGTGGGAAGGCAGCTCTTGATCAGTCCAAGTCAAAGAGATGAGAAGAATAGCAGGTCCACGGTGACATGTGAAGAACACACCTGAGGTTCAAAAGTTGACTTCTAATCTGCTCTCAGGGCTTCTTTGGAGGGTATACTGTATTTCTCACTTGTTGGGACACCTTTTATTCTGGAGGGACACATCGCGAATCCTTCAAGCACACACACTTAAAATGTGGGGCATCTATGTTCACGACTGGCACCAACTTTTTGGAATAACTGGGATCCTGGAATGGATGCATTTGTTCAATTTCAGTTCTGGGTCTCCAGTTCATTCTGACATGAGTTTGGAATTATGGGGGATTTTTTGCGGGGGGGGGGAGGGAGGGAAAGGCTGATTGAAAATGGGCAAGTGTCCTGATTTCATGCGATGATTTATTTTATCATTTGATTTGTAATAAAAAAAGAAAATAAAAACAGTAACATTGATAGTAACAGTGTCGGGTAGGGAATCGTAGAAATCTGGTCTAAAGGTTTGGAACTGCTTTCTAATCAGAGGTGAAAACTGTTTCCTCTTGGATTTCTCTTCTCAAAAAGTGAAATATTATTTTTGGTTGAAACCTCTTTCCTTATGTTTTCCTGTGGTTTGCTATGTCCCTATTTGTTGTTCTTGGAAATAGGCAGCCCGAAAAGCAGTGTTGCATGAATAAAATTTATCCATCTTTTCCAAGTTCACTTTAAAACAAAAACATTTTTTTTAAAAAATGAAACTGTTTCTCCCTATAATCTGTTTCTTCTACATACACCTGCTAGTTCAGCTTAATTGTCATAAATATTATTTACACTAAGTCTAGCCTTACACTATTCAAATGAATGATTGTTTTGACTCTGAGGTTTGCCAACAGATTTTCGAGGGAGTGCAGTGCAAGAATTTGAAGCAGTGGGAAAAAAGTAGAGTTGTTCTTAAAACTAACAGTGGCAAAGAACTAAAACAATAATAATCCTAAAACATTCCATTAAAAAAATAAAGACTTGACTGATCCCTAATTTGGGGGGGGGGGGTGAGGTTGCAAATCCTGTTGTGAACATTCCTGAATATGGACTGCTGATGTCATTAATTCACTGAACTTTAAAAGAATAACAGAGTTGGAAGGGACCTTGGAGGTCTTCTAGTCCAACCCTCTGCTCAACCAGGAGACCCTATACCATTTCAATCCAGTCTCTTCTTAAAAATATCCAGTGTTGGAGCACCTACAACTTCTGGAGACAAGCCAGTCCATTGGTTGATTGTTCTCACTGTCAGGAAATTTCTCCTTAGTTCTAGGTTGCTTCTCTCCTTGATTATTTTCCATCCGTTGCTTCTCATCCTGCCTTTAGGTGCTTTGGAGAATGGATTGACCCCCTTTTCTACTTTAGACATCTGTTCTGTGTCCTGGAGTGGCTGTACAAGTTTTCTCCACCTAGCCTCTATCTTTCCAGATTTCATTCCTTGAAAATGTCCTGTGCGCTTTGGTCTAGACTTCTTGGAGTAAGTATTACCCCAAAGTTGATTTTGGCAGAACAGCTACAAAGAGCAGTTAATTTCTACTTCCATTGCCAACGTATTGTCAACCAACTATCAATGAGTTCAAATGACTAGAAATGTGAGTTGCCGCCCTCTTTTGTGGTTTAGCTTGGAAAACTATAATACGAAGGATATAGACCTTCAGTTAAAAAAAAAATAGAACAAACCCATCGTCAGTGGGAGGAGAAAGCAGACAGTCTAGGTTTAATCAGAGACTCTCTGACCACAAATGAATTCCCTTGGCAAAGTGTCTGGATGAAAAGGAATTAGGTCTCTATGAGTTTGACAACTAAGTAAGGAACTCGGCACATTTGATTTCCTGCTTCTGGATACATTAACCGAGGAAGATATCCAGCAAAATAAAACAATAGAACGAAAGCTAGCAGGGACGTTGGGCCAATCCTGGAAACTGTACCTATGACTTACAGAATAACCGAGTTGGAAGGGGCTTTGAAGGTCTTCTAGTCCAACCCTCTGCTCAGGTAGAAAGAATTGACACCTTTGAACTGTGATGTTGACGTAAACTATTGCATGTACCATAAACAGCCAGAGTAACCAACAGAGAAGTTCTGAATTGGCAAAAGGATGACCCAACTGTTTGCTTAAGGCCTTGCATGAACTCGCTTTCCCAGCCTGGAGATTTGGCTTCTTTCGCATCCTGCTCTAGTTAGCTAGGGCTAATTATCACACCTATCCCACAGATCTTCTTTTTTAGGCAACGTGGAGCTTTTACAAGCCATGGAAGAAGAAAATATGAACCCAAATCTCCTTCTGACCTTGAGTCTCTACAGTTCTTCTAACTGAAGTGGGATCAGCCACATGGACCATCCAGAGGCTGTTGGGTATACGCAACACAAACCAGCATTGCAAAGATCTCCAGTTCTACTCTGCCCACTGCTAAGATCACAGTCGATTGATGTACTCCTTGTTGAAAAGCTCATTGTGCCTCATTCTTCAGACAGCAAAAGGGCTAGGTTGCTAAGTTACTGGTATTTGACATCATATCCTTCCCAAGGTGTTCCCATATTTGACAGACTCTTTATGATTGACTATGCCGGCCAGCTTGCTATTTGTGCAATGACGTCTGAAAAACCATTTGAAATTCAGATTGTGTCCTTTCTCTCCCCCTCCCTAAACTCTTCCCAGCAAAAGTGGCACGTGCGTATTTTGAAACTTTTTGTGGACACGGGATGCATCTGCACCCAGATGAAAAGAAACAATTAAGGGGCTTTCTGGGAGGGTGAGGGACACAGAGACAAGTCTATTAGCAGGCTAATTTTGCTTTGTGAACAAGGCATCTCAACCAGGGCTAGTACATATTAAGTCGATTAGCGCCTTTCAAATTGTACGGGAAAGGTAATATTGCATATCATTTTCTCAGTCAAGGGCATTTTCACCTGCTGATCAATTTACATATTCTCCAAGGTCGTTAGATTGAAGCTAGTCACCAGGAGGGGTGAAGAGAGAATAAATTACAAAGTTTTGTTCATTTAATTCTCATCATTTTATTCTAATTATAAGCAGCCTCTGTTTTGCTTGGGAGTATGGAACTTTTAATTAATACTGCATCTGTCCAACTATTTGTCTTGAAGGATGGAATGGATATTCCTAACTAGAAGAACATTGTTCTTGGAATTGGCATCTAGTAAGGTCTTACATGTTAAAGCTGTCACACTCCATCCTAAATTTGGAGTTTTCTTCCCATTGGGGAAAGAGCCTTCCCCAGTCTGACTTCCTGTGGATCTGTTTCAACATGAAACTCTCCAATTTCCCAACTAACATGAAGAAGAAGTGAACAGACAATCATTAACCAGATTAGTCTGCTTCAAACAAGTGTTGGGTCCTAGTTGGGTCTTCAGTGAAGACATCATGGCAACCTCTAAAGGAGAAGGTTTGCTTGCTGTTCCACACATGGTGAACTCAAACAGCACATGGTGAACTCCAACAGATGATAGTCTGAAGGAACCACAGAGACTTGCAACACTGAACATTCATCAAGTTAGTAACCCAAAGAGATTTGTCCTTGGCAGAAATTTCCATATGAAAACACTGTATGGCCTTGAGGAAGGAATATGTAAGAACCTATGGATACGATTAACCTGACTGATACAATTTCATTATAATAGAATGGATACATTCTAGGATGGAAAGCTACTTCAAATATGATATACTTCTGATCCACCAACAAGGACCTCCTTCAGAACACTCAATTTAATTCCTGGGCCTTCATTTGGCTTTTGAAGTGGCTTTTGAATGAGGAACATAAGAGTTGTAACTGTTAACATTTTTGTGTTGCAGTGCTGCAAATGCCTGGTTTCACCCAACTTCTTGATATTTCTCTGTTATGGATGTTACTATATTGGCTGTTGAAAGTTCACCTCTTAAAGCATGAGTTTGTTTTACTAATGGATGGAATTGATTCTATTTTTCTATGCTTCCACAGAGTTCAGTACATACTCTTATTCCAGCTAAAATAGGATACTCGGTTTGAAATCACCTATATGTCTTCTAGATAAACAGAGGTTTGATTGTATCATTACAGTTCTGCTGTTTAACATTCTATGGAGATTCTGTTATGTAATTGACAAAAAAGAATTCAACTTACCCGTAATATCTCCTCCACACAGCTGGAATCATTGGGAAGGCTAACCTAAGAGAGAGAAGGATATACGTAGTCAGTCTAAAAATTTTTTGGGGGGGTCATGGTACCAGTAAAAGACAGGTAATATCAACAGGTTACACGTTACCTTTTAAAATGGTAAAACAACAAAGCACTACTTTCCACGGTATTCCCAGGGAAGGTCAGCCTTCCTTAGTTATTAATTAATGAGCTCAATCTATATGTTTGCTCAGGTATACATCAACAAACAAATCCCAAATGAAAATATCCATGCCTAAAGAATCCATACTGCTGTTAATTCATGGGGAGAAAATGGCATTGATGAGCTGATGGAATTGTTCAGTTAGTTGCAGTCTGAATAATACTTCTGTTTGTGTGGTGGAATGTGGTCTGGATTCCCAGGAGGGAGGGGCTGCACCCCGAGGGTAAAAGAGGCAGCAGAGCTTGGAAAATTTGGCCAGCAGAAAGAGGATTAAAATGGTTCCTTCCCAGTTTATCCCAGAGTATATATGTAGTTATGCAAATAGTTGCTTTAGACTGGCAAGTTTCTGTCTGTAGGAGAAGAACAATAAAAGAGACTACTCATAAGTAACTCCACAGGTTGTTCTTGGGGCCTGACAGTTGGCCAATATAACATACAAACCATTTTTAAGAGTAATACAGAAGAATTTAAGCTACAGAGAAGGGACAGAGGAATTAACAGGCTCTTGAATAACTTTTAACTTGCTCCAGTTGATGGGCCACTAATAGCATATAGCTCAACCTTCTAGGAACCCCAAAGTACTTTACATGACCCAGAAAACTTACTCGGAGCTCTATTTAAGAAAGAAAAAAACTGTCTCTGGAACATAAGTCTGAAATCCGTCCACATTTGAACTGTGTGCCAAATACAGCTAAAGACATACCTGTGGGAGCTTTAAAGATTTATTAAAAATAAATAAATTGGGTGAAGAATCTTCTTCGGATCTCTTTTTGCCAAGGATTTACTACAATTGGGAAAAACTGGGGCAGAATTTAGCACAGTTTGCAAAGTACTTCAGGGTTTGTGAAACTGTGGGCGAGAATAAATCCAACACAAGCATCCATAGAAGTTGGTGGCTTTGGACAATTTGCTTTTAAAAAATGTGTTTCTGAAACATGGATTCTGAGCCAGAGTTATGGTGGGGCATTAAGAATCCTACTTCTTCTTTTTCACTGATAAACTCTTGTTTAGACTCAGACTAGGTGTATCTACTAAATTTGTCCAATTTTGGCAGATGGGAATTTTGTTCATCTGCTTTTCATAAAACGTTTTCCAAGATTGGTAGATCTTTTTTGATATTTCAAAGAAATTTAGGTAAAAGATTCTGGGGGAGAAAGGGTAATTGATGGAATCTTCATGAAAGGAGAAATGTAATTTCCAACATTTCAAATCAGACTTTTATCAATGGAAGCCATCTGCCTGGGAAAAATCAGTTTACAACAATGCCCCTTGCTACTGATAGTGATAGGGTGGATTAATTGCCCTGGGGATAAAACTATACGATGAAGTCCTTTACGCTATAATCTGTAACCTAAAATGCAAATCCTGAATTTTACTGTGTCCCCTTAATCCACTATAACTTTGATTGTCAAAAGATGCTGGTAGATCTATTAACTGGTGGAGTTTCTGACCTTCCAAGATTTGAAACCCCTTAGATTCATGTTGTGTTCAGCCAGACTTCTTAATTGCTCTCCAAAAAGCAAAGAGAATGAACACTGATTCTAACATAACTGTCTCCCCAGCTGATTTTTAAATCACATCAATGAAAGGCTACTCTGACAGCATGCAGTCCAAGTTCAAATGAAGGGTTTAATGACAGTGAAATGGAAAATTAAACCAGGTGTACGCCCAGACCCAGACAGACAGACAGACAGCCTCATAAGCATGCAGGCACGGACAAAAAAATTAAGCAAAATGAAACAAAAACACCCATCCTCTGAAATTGCACCACAGAAGCAGCAAACTGTTCAGTTTCTTATTAATGAGACACTCTGCTGAGCAAGTGCGTTCATAAATCCCTAATGAGGATTTTAAACACATTAAAACTTCTTAATGCAAAGTGTTTGCTTTTGTTTTCATCCAATAACAAGCCAATAATTCTGTGCCTCTAAATGACACTATTAACTGTCATGGTATGCTTTATTTGACAATCACTTCATTCAAATACAGTAAAAAAACAATTAATTTGCCTGTTGTGAAATGTTTCTTGATAGCTTTTACAGGGGGATTCCTTTGCCTCTTGCAGAAATGTATATAGCAGGTCAATGGAGGGAATCTAGTTTTACTTTAAAATTCATGGCAATAAAATCTAGGTCTTTTAGTAATTTGTTATTAAAATATATACCCCACCCACATTAGAAAGACTATTATTTGACTATTAAAAATTGATAGCCGTTTATTCAGCTTGGATTTATAAAGACAGATAAAATATCCTTCCTTTTTTTGAGTTGTCCATCACGTAATATCAATCTGATAGGTTAAAAATCCAATATAATAGTATTATTGACACTAAATATTCAGGATCCTTCCAAAATGACTACTTGGTTCTTTCTTAAAACAACGGCCAACAAATGGAAAGTTGGCCTGGTTGGAGAGAAATGTAGACTATAACTTAATTGTATTTAATTTCCACATCCTCACCTCTTCATTGTTTACAACAAGGTGGGCTTGTTTTCTTGGACATAAAGAAGGAGGAAGAAGGGAATGCAGGAAGAATGTGTGGCTGACTCCTTTTTCCATAGCTTCACATGCTTCTGATATTCCCAAAGAGCACCAAAAAAAAAAAAAAAAAAAAAAAAAAAAAAAAAAAAAAACAACCCCCTGGCATTCCCCAAAGAAAGAAAGATATGCATAGTTGATTCATGCAAAGCCTTACATCTAAGTCAAGAGAGATTATCTCCTCTTGTGACATCTTATAGAGGAGGCAATATTTTATTGCTCTGTTAACCATTTTTCTGAGACATGTGAACATCCATTCTGGAGCAGAGGTGGACATGGAAGAAATGGAGAAAATCATATTAGTTTCTAGGATGAATTTTTTTTGGGTGATCACTACATTCTTTAACAAATAGGTTCTTCTTCTTCTTCTTCTTCTTCTTCTTCTTCTTCTTCTTCTTCTTCTTCTTCTTCTTCTTCTCCTTCTCCTTCTCCTCCTCCTCCTCCTTCTTCTTCTTCTTCTTCTTCTTTTTCCTCCTCCTCCTCCTCCTCCTCCTCCTCCTGTGACAAATCTAAGCTTGGAAAAGCTTATTAGAAACCTTTCCAGTTGTTGGGTTGTCCAGAATATAGAATACGATCATCTTAGCTTTTGAAAAAGGCATTTAAGTCTGCTTACCTCTGAACCATGGAGGAAACATTTTCTCCTTTCTTCTTTTGCCCCAATTAATTCAGATTTATTTTTTTTTTTAAAACAGGGCTAACACCTGACACTGCTTCACTAATGACCTTTCTCATTTGTCAACACTGCCAGCTTTTTATCCTACAAGAGACTGCCTGGTGCCCCCAGAGGTGTTTCACCGCACACTAATCCATTCTACGAGACAGTCACTAAAATTATCATTCATAGTTTAACTTCCTTTCTTATTTCCTGCTTAGGTATTTTTGGCTTCCCAAGGCAGAAAGTTGAAGACTGAATTTCTTTGAACAAACCAACTAACACTTCCTCTAAATGCTGACCATAAACATCCGTTGTTGTCAGGGAGATCAGTAGAAGATGATTCCCATTAATTTTCTTTCCCTTACGACTCATCCTTTTCTGGAAGTTGGCTTGCCATTGGACCCTATCAAGAATCAACAAGAAGCATGGTTATATAAGGAGGCAAAAAATCCTGGAGGGAAATTGTGAATAGATAGGTGTCTTTGCTGGCTGATATGAACCAAGCATGATTTCTTAGGACAGCCATAGCATGGGAACCTGTTTCAACTCCAGCTGTCAATGGACCGTGCAGATAGGGTCACAAAAGAGCCAGTTTGGTCCAGCAGTTAAGGCACCAGGCTAGAAAGTGGGAGATAGTGAGTTCTAGGCCCACCTAGCCAATTGGGTGAGTTTCGGCCAATCACTAGGAGTTGAACCAATCACTAGGAGACAGTGAGTTCTAGTTCAGTTTTAAGCATAAAATCTGGCTGGGTGATTTTGGGCCAATCACCAGGAGTCTGTGTATTCTAGTCCCACCTTAGGCAGGAAAGATGATTGGATGACTTTGGGCCAGTCACTTCCTCTCTCAGGTAGTTCATGGAATAACCAGGAAAGACCTATTTCTCATAAGATCATTGACTAATATCTATCTATTTTATAAAGAAATGGAGAAGCACATTTGTTACTCTAGAGAACCTCTTACATTTCATTACTGTCAATTTAAGCAAGATCCTTTCTTTAGCTATCCACAAGATCAAAGCAACCATTACTGAAAATGTTACTAGCAAGAAGCTGTATCTGCACACATGAAGATGTCCCAAGTACCTTCAGTCTCAGACATGGTTCTTAGAAGATGCACTTGGCCGATCAGCAAGGAGCCATTTTGCAGTATCTCCATATACATATATAAAAGGCATATGCCTTCAGGACACCATAACTGTTTCAAGGTAACTTCCATATTGCTGTTCGTAATCAGTTCCTCTGCTAATCTGAGATTTGTTAGATGGTGAATGGCAAGATACAGAGTGATGGAGGAGGGGGTCAGGAGTGATCCACAGGTATGGAATGCTGGAAAGAAGAAACACTAGCAACAGGTGCTAGGAGATGGTTACTAGGAAAAATGGAATGTAATTAGTGAGGAAAAGAGGTGAGGTCTCTCGGCAGAAGCTAAACCATCATCTGAGCTACAAGAAGGGGTCAGATTCTTGATTGTCTGTCATGAGAGACCACCAGTAGATGAACTTAGCATGTACAAACCTTGTAACAGCAAGCAATTCCAGCAAAGCACTAAGTCCCATCATTTCAAAAGTTGGGTTCACCCAACCGTTGAATTGAAGGTCAACCAAGAGGCAAAAGGGATGATATTTTTGTGATAAA